CCCTGGGTTCAATCCTCAGTATGGCAAAAGCAAGGGAGGGAAGGAGGGAGAGAGAGAAGGGAAAGGAAGAGAAATAAAAGCATGGCTTCATCAAACATATGCAGGATTTTCTTATTTCCTCAGCAACACAGAATAACAACTGTACGCCGCATTCACATTTTATTAAGTAGGGATCCTGGACTCTATGGACCACAGAGCTTGAGGGACTAGCGTACTGTATAAGGCATCAGGTGGCTCTGGCCTGGCCACTGAAAGAGATTTTAGACACCTCAGGATTCTCACAGCTTTTTGGGTCATCAAAAAGCAGAAAAGGAGTGTGGATCTGCAGGCAAAACTGATGCCTCCATCAACGCCAAAGCTGTTTTCACAGTGCGATTCCGCAAGGGAGACAAACCTCTCCTGCTCTTTCACCCAGTAGTAAAACGAGTCATAAAAATCAAGCTCACTCAGCCCTTCCTGTGAGTCAGGCCTCACGTCACGGTCTGCATGTGCATTAACTCACTCCCCACGATGACCCAGAGTCACACCTCCTCATCTACGGAGAAGTTAAGAGACTCAGCAATTTGTCTAAAGTCACACATCTAACAGTTGGCCGAGACAGATCTTAAATCCAGAGATTTCAATTTGTGCAGCTATGTTAGAGCCTATACTTGTGCCCTGCACAGTGCTAACTCTGTTTGGGACCCCTGAACTGCAGGGTGGGGTGGAGGCATCTCTGGATTCCCAAACACGGAGTCACCTGCTTTGCCACAGTCCACAGAACAGGTTGGTTTGGTTACAACTTCAGGAAGAGCAAGCCTAAAGTCCAATGTTACGCTCTGATATTTACAATCCTTTCCAGAGAGCAAAGCACCCTTTCCCCAGGTGGTACCAGACTCATCAAATTAACTGAACTCAACCAGCATCTTAGCACTTCCTATGTGGGGCTCTCCCTGCAGGGCAAGAGTCCCCAACCTTCTCAACTCTGTAGATATTCCCAAGGACCCAAACAGTTTTGTTTTCATTTAAGAATTATCTAAAAGAAGAAAAAAAAAAAAGTTGGCCTATCTGGATCTGGGTCCCTTATAATCAGGCGCTACCTGGATGTGTTTCATTCCTGCACCGTGCCAGAAAGGAGCTGTCACTGCCATGGGCTGAAGACAGAGGACAGAGGTGGATTTAACTGTAAACAGGTCCTCTGAGTTCAACTAGAGGCCAGCAGGAAGTGAGGTAAAAATGGAGATTTGTAGCACGAAGTACAAACTGAGGAAAGGGATGGGAGAATGGAGACACAGCTAAAGCCAAGGGGGCCAGCTCTGCAGTCAGAAAGGCACTTGTTTCAAGGAGTAGCAACCTTTCAGGGGACGGCCTCCCTCTCTCCAAAGTAATGCTTGAGATTTGAACTGCACTGCTCAGGCTGCTTTGTTTGCGTTTCATTTGATTTTGAAATTGATTGTGGTTTACGGCTACACAAGAGATGTAAGCCTTAGGATCGCATATTTTATCATCCTCAATGCCTAGTTCAAAAAAATGAGACTGTGGCAAAAGGACTCAGGTTCTAGCCCAACCTGGGCAGTTAATGACTTAGTTAGACCCTGGCTCAAAATAAAAAATAAGGAGTGCTGGGATATTCTGTAACTTAGGGTGAAGGCTCTGAATTCAATCCCCAGTGCCACCATAAAAAAGAAAGAAGTGGGGGAGAGGGAGAGGGAGGGGAAAGGAAAGACAGAGTTTAAAAGCAATCTCTAAATCAATGCTGGGGATCCAAAGCAACGCTTTCATTACTCTGCTTTCAGTGCTGGGGACTGAACTCAGGGCCTAGCTCATGCTAGGCAAGTGAGCTATATTCCAAGCCTTTTTAAAAATTTTTGTTTTGAGACAAAGTCCCACTAAGTTGCCCAGTCTGGCCTCAAATTTTCTAGCCTCCTGCCTAAGCCTCTTTAATGCTTTTTCTTGCAAAAAAAAAAGGCCCATCATCTGACAAGGTGTGGTAGTGCACACTTGTCATCCTAGCATTCGGGAGGCTGAGGCAAGAGGATTATAAATTCTAGGCCAGACATTATCTCAAAACACCAAACCAAGGGCTGGGGACTTACAGTGGTGCCGTTGCCAAGTGCAATGTCCTGAGTTTGATCCCCGGTACAAAACAAAAAACAACAACAACAAAAGCCCCCAAAGCCTATCAGTCCAATGATCGGTGGGGATAGAGGAATAAAGGGACTGTCCTCTAAAATTCCACAACATTTTGGGGACTTTCTGGTACCGGGGATTGAACTCAGGACCTTGTGCTTGCAAGGCAGGCGGTAGGAACCACTGAGCTACATCCCAGCCCTACACAACATTTTGAAAAGCCTACCACCCAGATGTAGACTGCCCAAATAAGTCCATGAGAGGAAAACAGTCTTCTCTTTCAGGTTCTTCCATTTTCCCAAGACTATACGCTCTAGGCTGCCTGGGATGGGGCCGTGTGTGTCTGTGCTTCCGAAGAGCAGCTTGCCTGGCACAGCACGAGTCACAGAAGGCTCACGGCACCCTTTTCACTGATGAGTGGCAGGGTTCTACTGTGCCACCTCTTTTTCTTTGAATGGCTCCAAGCAGTTGCCAGCCTCTTTTTTTTTTTCCCCTCGTAAACATCGCACTTTTCTTCCCCTTCTGTACCACATTACGAGAAGGGACTGATGAGAGCTGGGGGTGGTAAGGCTACAGGTTCCACACTAGCCAGGCAGCTTCCTTCCTTGGCTTCCCACTCCAGCTATTACTGTAAACTGACTCATTCTGTTTGGCCTACAAGTGTGTTCACAAATTGGATCAGTCAATTTTTTTTATTAAATAGGAGCAATTTCACCTACGTACTGTATGTGGATTTCTGGCTGCTCTTGAAAATTTTTTTGATACCAGGTTTCGAACTCAGGACCTTGCGCTTGTGAGGCAGGTGGCGGCACCACTGAGCCAAATCCCCAGCCCTCTTGAAAACTATTAGATTTGATTTTCCCTGACAGCTACCAAGAGGATGAGCTGAGGGAAGTCTGTGGACAGGGCTCATGGCCTCCTCACTTACCTTCCTGCCTGGCCCTTATCATCATCATCACCATCACCATCATAATCATCACCCTAATAGCAGCAAATAACTCTATGTCATGAATGAGGTAAATGAAGCCAAGAGAAGCTGTCCAAAAGCAGAGTTAGGATTGAACCCTGAGTAGTCTGATTTCAAAGACCTTCCACTTAACTACTCTACTAGCACTCTATTAGTATATATATGCTTAAGTTTGGGACTCCTGCCCTATATTCAGCACATACTATTTGGGGACTGAACCCAGGTCCTTCACACTAAGCTGTATCCCAAGCCTTTTCATCTTTCACTGGGTGACAGGGTCTCACCAAATTGCTCAGGCTGGGCTCGAATTTGTCATCCTCCTGACTCAGCCTCCCAGAATGTTGGGAATATGTGCCTGTACCACCATGCCTGGCTTGCACAAACATTTTCAAGTGAAACAAACAAGGAAGGCTCCCTTCTCCAAATACACAAATTTTAAAGAGACAGTTGAATCATTTTCTCTGTTCACAAATTCAAAGGGTGGATTTCAGGCTTTCATGAGGACCCAGAAACAGAGGAATCAGAAAGATACTTACAAAGAAAAAGCCTTACTAAACTAAAGGAGGAAAGGAGACACCAAAGTTTCTCACTCTCCATGCAGAAAACCTCCAGAAGCCTCAGAAGTCTTTAGGGAGTCAATGGGGTCGAAATCATTTTCATGTTTCTGGATGTTACCTGCCTTCATCATTCTCAGCAACGTTTCCCAGAGGCTACAAGACATTTGATATCTTGAGAGGCTGAATGCAGAAACAGACAGGAGCATCCAGATGATAGTGAAATGAAAATTAACCTCATATTCCTTCTCCTCGGTTCTGGGGATTGAACCCAGGGCCCTCTGCTGCTCAGCTTACTCAGCTACATGCCAGGTCTTTTTTATTTTGAGACAAGGTCTTGCTAAACTGCCCAGGCAGGATTCAAACTTTCAATCCTTCTGCCTTGGCCTCCCTTGGAGCTAGGATTACAGACAGTGCCAACATGCTTAGCTTCTTACTTAATTTATTTGGAATATAGATTTCTTAAAATTGCCCGGCATGGCCTGGTGTGGTAGTGCATGCCTATAATGCCAGCTCTTGGGAGGCTGAGGCAGGAGGATCACCATCAGTTCGAGGCCAACCTGAACTGCATAGGGAGATCCTCTCTCAAAACAAACAGATCAAAAGTTTGAGATCACCTGCCCTTAAAAGTAGAAGTCCTGGGCCTGGGATTTAGCTCAGTGGTTCCTCTGTCCGTCTCGTAAGTACAAGGTCCTGAGTACAACCCCCGGTACCAAAAAAATAAGTAGAAGTCTTGTGTGTACACATGTACTCAGGCAGGTATTTCTCTAGCAGAAAGAAACTAAGCCAAAAATCCCAAACTGGTAGCCAGCATACATATTATGTAAGAACACACAAAAAATAAATTCTGGGAATATTGGCTGGCATCACCTAGGCAGGACACACAAATGTTTGCTTTGCCACAAACACTACTATGATTTTTTTGCAGGGGGGTTGAGACAGGGTCTCACTATGTAGTTGAGACTGACCTGGAACTCACTATGTAGCCTAGGCTGGTCTCGAACTCACAGTGATCCTCCTGCCTCAGCCTCCCGAGTGCTGGGATTACAGGCCTGTGCCACCACTCCTGGCTTACTACTATGATTCTTGACCTGTCAGCGCCTGTAATGATCCAAACCCCTGCACTGAGGGCAGGAAGAAAAAAATCTTTTTTTGCAATAAGCATCGCCAACGAAACATATATCCAACTAATAAATGCACTCCTCCAAAGAGATCAAAGTGCATGATAAGTAACACTGGCTTATCTGACTTCCCTAGGCCTGCAGCTCGCATGGCCTCATGACGTGCTGAGACTCTGGGACAGATTGGAAACCCTTCTGAGAAAGAGAGCCACGGGACATTCTGGAGGAGTTTAAAGCCAGGAAACTCACCGCAAGAGCAAGGGAGTGAATCTCTGGGACAGGAGGGCGCAGTTTAGGCCTGAGGGAGTGGGTTCAGGTGACAGTCAGACCTTGGCTATTTCCTCCTGGAAGGCTGGTGGGAATTGCAGGACACTCATCCAATTCCTTTTGCCCTGAAAGCAGGTGGTGGAAAGGGAGGGGCAGTGAGAACCTGGGTCGAAAACAAGACACAGGTATGAAACTGGGGAAGGAGGGAGTTTTTGGAAAAAGGAGGAAAGCAATACTAAACTGGGAAGATACGTGTGGGGAAAAGGTTCTGAGGATAAGAGGGAATTATTTCTCTTTCGTTCCTTGTTTTTCCTCTGGGAAGGAATCTAGAGGATTTTCCTGGGAGAAGCCTAATGGGGTGGAATTGGGGATGAAAAAAGGGACGTTTGTTGGAAAGTTGGGGAGAGGAAGATTGGACAAATGATTATGAGAGGGGAGAGAAACTGGAAGGGCTCAGTTTTAAGCAAAAAAAAAAATTAGAGGGAGTAGGTGGCAAGAAAGAATTTTTGCTGAAAAGTGATCTGAACAGAGAAGAAAACAATTGGGAGAAAAATACAGTACTTTTGCTAGAGGAAGTGCCTAAATGTACCAGAAGGAGCGTAATCAAGTCAGACAGGACTGATTTTTGTTTTTTGCTGGAAGATCCTTAAAAGAAATGACAAATCTGGGTCCCCAAAGTGGAGCTGAGGAGAAAGGTGTCTGTGTAGCAGAAGCGGCCTGGTCTGGCCGGCGAATGCAAGGCCGAGCTGCACATGGGGCAGGGGGTGGGGTGGGAAAGAAGAGCGGGTGCAGCGGGCCAGGGGCTCCAGAGGAGTCGTCTTCAAAGCGGAAGGGACTGCGGGGGTGCAGTGGGCCTGGAACTGTTAGGGTGCAGAAGGTGCGCGCGTGACGCAGGGTGAAGGGCACCCCTCAAAAGGGAGACGGACCCTCCCAAAGAGAAATCCAGGAGCGAAGGAGTCTGTAAAAGAGGGAAGGGGTTAAAATCAGAGGAAAAGGAGGGAAAGGGGAGGTAGGGATAAAGGGGAGAGGGGCAAGGGCAGCAGCAACCGGGTTTTACCCGCCCCGGGGGCTCGCGCGCCGGGCCT